AATATTAAAATAACAATGTAGATAGGGTATAGTGTATCTCGCTCAAAGTGATCTTAGTATAGGATTGTGTTTGGAAGTGAGAACTCTGAGCAATTTGTGACATGTGTGGCACACACACTCACTGACAGACATACATTTTCTCACCCATACTCACAATTAATAAAAAAAAAATATTTGGGGTCTAATGTGGCTGCTGTCTTCTTGCTCGGCTCCCTGTGTACTATTTAGTGATGCCGCAATTGTCATAACACGGCACCCAACATGACTGTAGGGCTCATGAGGGAGCAGGGCTAGAAGAGCACGGTGATTATAGCTCCCTTGCTGCTCAGCTACATCCTAACCCCCCGGTCACTGAATTTGGGCAGAGTAGGCACCTGCCATCTGGGTAAGCAGGTGCCCACTCCCAGGGCCAGTGCAATGATTTTCTGACGTCCAAGGCAAAAACGATTTTGCCACCTCATTCACTCCACAGTGGTCCTGTAGGTTTAACCCCACAAGATAAAACATTGCCTTACCTTGAAGGGTTATACAAGCACTTTAGTATCTGTCACACTGACAGCCACTAGAGACACCTCCGCTACAATGCCATGTCTAGCTAAATGAAACATTGAAAGTGCATAGCGATTGCTACTTGTGCGCAACAAGTCCCCAATGCTCCTGTACAGTGGCATACACACAATCCATGGGGCCCCCTCTCCTCCCATCCCCCCGATCCGTGGGCCCTCCACCCCCTTAACATACCTACAGACATACACAGACACACACATACATATACAGACAGACAGACACACATACATACAGACAGATACATACAGACAAATACACATACACCCCGACAGACACATACACACAGACACGCATACATACACAGACAGACACACATACACACACACACCCCCAACAGACATACACACACACATACAGACACATACATACATACAGACACACATACATATACACACACACACATACATACAGAGACACAAACACACACATACACAGAGATACACATACAGACACATACATACAGAGATACATACAAATACAGACACATAGATACATACAGACACACACATACAGACACATACATGCAGAGACACATACACACAGACACACACATACAGACACATACAGAGACACACACATACACACACACATATACAAAATGTTTCCTACCTGTTGCAGGAGGGTGACTTTTCCTGGGGTCCAGTGGGGGCTCAGCTCTGACTCCCTCCTTCCTCCCACGCAGCTCTCTGATAGCTGGGAGGAGTGACGGGCAGTCACTTCTTTCCAGCTCTGTCTGACTGCGCTGTTAAAGCACCCAGCGCTGACCGTACTCCCTGGAAATCCATCTCCATCGGGTGGCCCTAACAGCATGGTCCATCCGATGGAACCCTTGAACGGCGGCCCCGGCGGTTTGCCGCGTGGGCCGGGGCCGCAAAACATGGCGGCTCGTACCCGGTTGCAGGGATCTGCAGAGTGGCTAGGCACCCTGGAGTGACGGGCCCAGTCGTAGCTGCAACCCCTGCGACCGCAGTATGTACGCCACTGCTCCTGTATGAGGAACATTGGATTGAACCAGCATTGCCCCATCAGTAACAATGAGCGAAGTAAGGGGGCAAGCAGTGCAGAGGGAGTCAATGTTTGATAAACGTAAGTAACCCCTCCTTTTAAAATAATTTTTATGGTGGGAGGCTTAAATCTATTAAGGGACAGAGACACTATATTATTCAGAATACAGGTTTATATTCCTAACACTATAGTGTTAATTTAAAAGTATTAATTAATTTATTGATTTTTCAATTAAGATGGTCCTTTTTCCCGAAATACAATCAATGATACTACACACATATACACACACACTCACTCACACTCAATGGTCCACACAATCAAAATCTGTGACCAATGCACGCTCAAATTCAATGACTCATGCAGAGTGAGACACACACACAGTGGTGTATTTAGGATTTGGGCTGCCCTAGGCAGGAGGGTGTTCGGGCACCCCCTCCACCCCCCATTTAAATTTTCCCCACCCTTACCTGTCATATAATACTGATCCAGACACACACCCACTCGCACACTAACCCAAGCAGACACACACACAGACCCAAGCACACACACACACTGACCCAAGAAGAAACACACCCCCGCTCACTTGACCCAGAGTACAGGGCACGGGACGGGAGCGATTGCGCAATGCACCTGTGTGCTGCCGGAATGACAGGTGTGTAGGAGGGTGCAGCTCTCTGATCTTTTTTGGTCTAAGGTTGAAGGCACCGGGCACTAGTCTGCAGCCATGTAAGTGCTTCCTAGTGTCCGGTGGTAGACATGTGCAATTCATTTTGTTCCGAATGTGAATTCAGCCGAATTTCGGGCAATGTCTGAAGTGCCGAATTGCCGAATTTAGGAAGTGCCGAATTGCAGAAGTGCCGAATTCCCGAATTTCGGAACTGCCGAAGTGCTTCAGATTTCTGAAAAGTGGCAAAAACAAGAGAGGGAGGGAAAATTACATAGATGATTTTAGGGGTAGGGTTGGGGAGCCCTACAGATGTCCCGAATTGCTGAAGTTCTGAATTGCCGAACCAAACCGAATTGTGGAAGTGCATAATTTCTGAATTTTTTTTATCACCCGAATTTCCGAACCTAACCAAATTTTTTGCACATGCACATCCCTACATAGAGGGGCGCTTCTTATTGGTGCCCCCCATCTCCTGGGGTCCTAAGGTGGCCAGCACTTGTTGTACCACCAGCTTTCGGGTACGTTCTACAGGTTGAGAAACTTGGGTCTAAGAAATCAAATGCATTTTTTTTAACTTTAACAAAGATAGGTAGGAAATGATCATGCCTCTCTCTCTCTCTGTAAGTAAGCAAATTGCCTCCTTCTTGATACAGTGCCTTGCAAAAGTATTCAACCCCTTGGCATTTTTCATGTTTTGTTGCCTCACAACCTGGATTGTTTGAGGATTTGCATCATTTAATTTACAGAACATGCCCACAACTTTGAAGATGTTTTTTTTATTTTTTTATTTGGCAAGTAAACAAGAAATAGGACAAAATAACAGAAAAAGTTAATGTGCATAACTATTCACCCCCCTAAAGTCAATACTTTGTAG